ATTTCATCTGATCTGTGTTTTTTTTTTTTTTTTTTTTTTTTTTTTTTTTATTTTATATGCTTTTATCCTCAGTACTAGATCTTTCCATTCCTATATTGTTCCACATCAACTTGTGAGAAGTATCTGCTCATAGGCTGCAAAAATATTTTGGAACAGCCATTTCTCGTTTTTTCATAATCTGTGATTTCTGGACAGGGATTATGTAATGTTTTATATCCAGGCAATAACCAAAGATCTTCCTATAAATGGGAATTTGGTTACTGTATACAGTCATGGCTTTGTAAAGTGCATCTATAGGCTGTGTTCTGTTCTGTCTTTGTGTATTATCTCCTCTCCCCCTTATAAATAGAAAAGTACTTACTCTCTTGATGAGGTATCGTAGTTCAGGATCAATGTGCTCCAGGCAAACTGGTGTTTCTGTACATATTGTTCTGCGTACCAACTTATAGTTCACACTGTCACAAAATGCTTGTGAGCCCACTGCCATCTCATAGATTGCACAGCCAAGAGAGAAATAGTCAGCTATTTTGTTGTAGGGTCCGTATTGATGAACCTCTGGTGCCATGTATGGTGGAGTCCTGATATAGTCGTTGACCATCCTCGATCTGAACATGCCTGTTTCTGCTAGGCCAACATCAGCTATTTTAGCATGGCTGGTGCTATTCAGCAGTATTTTTGTCTGGTTTTATGTCTCTGTGCATAATGCCACTGGAATGTAGAGCTTGATGTCTGTACAACATTTCGACTACAAGAAAACTGATGTGGAGGAAAAAATAAAGTTTAACATCATAATATGGTAACATTTGTAGAAGCCAACCAAAAAAAATTTTCTTATGGTATAATGCTGACAGGATGTTCTCAGTAATTGAGGCCAACTTTTAGCCTCTATTGGAGCTTGTTGCCACATCAAATGGAGCTTTATCTGCAATCAGTGAATTGAGCTCTCCTCCATTCAAATACCCTATGACAAAGAAACATAATCCTGTATAAGAGACAGGAAAAAAGTTAGTTTAAATTCATACAGACATCATTTATAATCTGAATCTTCACTTAGAGCCTATTCTCACTTCTGCGACTTGTCATGCGACCTTGGACATCAAAGTCACATGTCAAGTCGTACTGTGTGTTTTCCAATGATAACCATTCAACTATGTTCGATTTAAAGTTGCAGTGACTGCAAAGTAGTTCATGCACTACTTTGGTCTGACTTTAGGGCCATAGACTTCAATGGTAAGCCTCAAAAGTTGCATGAAAGTCGTACCTAAATAATTTACATACAACAGTGGTTCTGACTTTGGCTGCCAGCTGGATGTGACTTATCCCTCTGCAATCAAAGCTGCACTCCAAAGTCATGCAACTTTAGAGTTCTACAAGTGTAAATGGAACCTTAATGATTGTTTTGCTCCCTTTGCTAAGATGAAATGGTCTGCATGCCATTATTCCTAGTTATCAAGGGAATACGTGTGAGGGTCTAGGTGGATAATAAGACATGAAATTTGGTAAAAAGTGATGATGCTTCTGGAATGTGGCAAAAGCATGAGTAAGAAAATCGCTATCCCTGCACATTTCCAGCACTTGATGCTCGATTTGGACACAGCTGGGATCTTCCTCAAGTAGGAGCCGTTTAGTCGCCATCTTGACTGCCAGTTGCTGACCAATGGAAGGGTGAGATGCCAACATTACCTATAGAAGAGAGAATGTTGTTGGATAATTCATAAAGCTAGAGAGGCCCATCCTCCCCTGATGCCGTCATTCCTCAGACATCTGACCTGTAAGGTATGATTTACAAATGTGGGGAAACTGCAGTGCTAATCCTTTCCCCAACAATGACCGTAAGGGACTAACATGGATTCTCAGGATTAGGAAATGAAAGTTGGAAACCAGTTGTTTCTGAGTTGTTGCTGTAGGCAACATGTCCATTTTCCCCATTTGTAATCTAAGCTTATAAATATTCAAACCAATTTATGACAAAGCTAAAACAGGATTAGGGGCCTTCTTTAAAAAAGTGACAGCTATTTTCGGCTATGCACAATGTCCTTTGAAAAATACAATCCATTTTCTTTGTGCAAAGCTTTATAAATTTAGACATGGTTACCAGGCTTCATTCACAACCCTTTAATAAAATCCTAAGGCATTCTATTATTTACAGCCATGAGACTATAATTTTCAAATCTCCTTGGACTGAGCTGAAAATACCGTAAGTGTAATTTTTTTGGTGATAAGGATCTTCATTGTAAATTGTAGGATTGTAAATTGAGTCTAATGTTTTGAGCAATGCTTCCAATGAAAACCTTTTCAGATCCATATGATTTAACACTGAACAATAACATTAAAAATGATGTAGTCTCATCATTTATTATCAGAAAGGTCTCCTATTTCTTATACTTTGTATAGATCACTTAGGGGTTTATGTATTGGGCAACTTACCTTGTCAACGGTTCCTTCTCCAAGCATGCGATGAAAAGTGAATTTGTCCGGAGTCAAAGCACATGGGGGTGTCCATATGCATGGTGCAGGCTAGATGTCGCTTATACCTGAGAGAGAAATCGGATTACCTCTGCGTACAAGTCATATATTGATGGTAACATTTATACACCATAAAAGAGTACAGAGCTCAGAAAATCAAACTGGAGTATGAAAAATATTAAATGATTAATTCAACCAAAGGGCATATTTGGTGGTGAATACTAGTGAGCTTGATTGTCCGCTCCTGATTCTGTCTTCCAGAAATCACCAATTCTAATTTTACTGGTGAGTCACCCTTGATCACCTGCTTGATCACCCGCTATCTCCAATTTTATTCCAGTTTTTATTTTGGGTTGGTGGCTCTTGGTAAATCTATTGATCCTGTCCACATTTATAGATATTATTTTTAATTTTTTTCCCCTCCCCCATCCGTATTCCTCCCCAGTATCCCCCTCTCAATCACTGGCTTTTCCTATTTCCCTCCCCCTCCTTCCCCCAGGTACACGGAGTCACCCCATTCCTACTGCTTTTAATCTTTATCCTCCATTTTGTAGGAAATTGATCCTCGACACACTACCTGCAATAAGTGTAACATTTAATAAATATATTCTACAATCTTTACCTGCTGAACGTGATGATGGGGTTGCCTTTTTGCATCTTTGGCAACCATAATTGAGACCATGTCTTCCCAGGAACTTCTTAAAGCCCTGCTTAAGTTCTTTTAAATGTACCTGTTTTTTTGGATTTAGCAGGAGCTTCTTTGATGTTACTGGTGCAGGGCTGGATGTTCCCTGCATCAATGTCCCAACTTTCTTCAGGTATGAAGTCTATGTCCCATCTTTTGCTCAGTTGGCTCCTCTTGGGTGGTATGCAGAAGAGCCTGAGGGTCTTATTGGAGCTCATCCTCCCAATTCTCCTTGGTGTCAAGGTCCCAAATTTCTGTAATTGGCTCCCCTTGGTTGGTAGTCAGAGGAGCCTGAAAGTCTTTGGAAATGTATCCTCCCATGTTTCCTCAGTATTGAGGTCTTGATGTTCCCTAGCAGGCTCCTCTTTGATGGTGATCAGAGAAGCCTTAGATTTTCTATGTAAACAGCCCATTTACTAAGCAAAGAAACTTTGCTGGGGATCCTCGGAAAATTGCTGCATCTCAGGTAAGTGGTAAACAAGTATCTGACCTCAGGCTGCACACTGCAGATTTAAATTCTGTCTGCTCCACTCAGTGGGTGGAGCCTCTTCCTGGCAGCAGTTTAGGCCTCTGCCCCCTAAGCTTTGCTATAACTGCCATGGATGTCCAGGAAGCTGGCTGTGCTGTCTATGGGGGTGTCAGTATGGCAATTCTGGCTCAACCAAATTACAGATCTTATGGTAAGCAAGAAATGTCCTAGAAATGTATTTCCTCTGTATCTTTTTTTTTTTTTCTCCATTTCTGGGGGCTCAGCTTTGTATTTTGGGTAATATATGGGGGCCAATGGCATTGCTGGAGATCTACTGAGTGTCTCTTCTCGCTGATTCCATGTAGTAATAAATCTGTTTTATCTCTAATTAATCCGGAGTCCTTTTAATTTCTTTCCCTTTTTATTATAATCATATAAAGCTTTGTCATAGTAAACATTTGATTGTTGCCTGTTAGGACAACTCAATTTAAGTTAGCTGCCTTCCTCCAATCATCTCTATTATTGCTCGAGCTTAAATATAGCACCAATCAGAATACATTTTATAGAAATGACAATACCTCACTATGATACATCATCAAATATAACAAACAAGTTAGTAACTTTTACAGTTTTTGAAGGCCGAGGATACTTTTCATAGATAACAACAGTATTCCAGTCCCCGGGAACATTCTGTTAAAGGTTTGTTAGTAAACGCAAAACAAAATTAGATAACTTTTTCAACCCTTTCAATTTCCCATAGCAAGTGCCCAGCCCCAGCTGTCTATTGTACAGCCCAGGTGTTTACATAAGTACAGAAGCAGATTGGCTGTTATGACAACAGGGTTGTTTACCTTTATCAGAGATTTCAGGTATCAGGTCCCCATATTCTCTTCCCAAGTACCATAGACTAGTATTGGTTGTTGATAGCAACCAATTAGAGGTTGTTTACTAAAGTGGCAGTGTGCTAGAAATGAATGGTGTGTGATTATGGGGGGAGGGGCTGTTATTCCGATTTATCGGTTTCTATTACTTCTCAGTCAGGCTGGAGAAAAGTATGGACATTTGGGGTTCTGATTTCACGAGTTGGAAATCCTGATTGCGGTGCAGCACAACAGCTTACAATTTTACACAAATCTACAGTATTCCCTCTCCTATAACTGGTCCTGTAGCACGTGCCTGAGTATTCCTTCTGAGCAAAACGCCAGTCTGGCTTCAGTTAGTAGGATTTTATCAGCTCTCCAATGTGAAATGTCACTTTAAGTTGTGGAGTCGTTCCAATAATCAGTAACAACAACACTTGTGGCCTGACACAAACAGAGACCCTAACTAACTCAGTCTCAGTCTTTAATTAGTGGAGTTGTTCTAACTATAGGCCTGGACTCAGTCTCAAGGCGCCAACACTGAAATGAAGTGCGTGCACGATCTTACCAACCTGGGTCTGCTTTGTATTCACTGGTGACTCTGAACAGAACAAATGTCTCTCCAAAAAGCATGCGGTCTTGCCGTATATGTTGTATAGTTCCTCTGCTCTCATCAGCCTTCCTGGCAGCAATCTCATCAGCATTCCTGGCAGCAATCTCATCAGCTTCTTAGCAATCTCATCAGCATTCCTGGCAGCAATCTCATCAGCATTCCTGGCAGCAATCTCATCAGCTTCACTCAGCATCATCCAAAACATGGCTGCAGTCTCCTCTTCCTGTTCACTAAACTCCAACTCTGAGTGCAAAACCCCACCTCTTCATGAATATACAAATATCTATGCAGTCTGAGCCTGTGTTAGAAAAACAGTGACATCTTGTGGCTAAACTGCAGAATGTCAGTCAAAACATTAATTTACTTCCACACAAACAGTGTGCAAACAATGAGAGCTGTTTCCCTATCTCACAAGTCCACCCCTGGGTGGTGCACAAGCAGAGCATCACAGTTGCTGTAAACCTTATAGCACAGGTATACCACTGCTAACCACAACCCATTCAATTGAACAGGGCTCCACTGGCTTGCAACTGTTAAGGGTTAATGAGGTGTTTCTGGGGCAACTATTCACCTTTCATGTTACATGTTCCACCCATGTTTAGGGCATAACGTATTATGTTTTCACAGCTTCATTCCCCCCTCAAAAAAAAAAACCCCCAAAAAACACGGCTGTGCAGGGTTCTGCCCGTCCTGGCCACATCACTCATACACAGTATTTTGTGAATGAGAAACTACAAGTCCCGACAGCCTTAGTGGCTGTCAGCTTGTAGTTCTTAATGAATGACCAAAGCTCAGTGAGTAATGTGGTAGTTCATTAATTCTTCCTGTCAGTAGCTATTGGCTTGCCCGTACAATGTATGCATAAGCAGATACACTGACAGGTCTGCAGGAGTCCTGTATGGCACCCATGATCTGCTGATCACTGGTGCAATGCTTTAACAAAACACAACAAAAAGTAATAAATCCACTTCTCCTTCCCTCAAAAGTGCATTTATTTTTTGTTGAAAGGTAAACTTCTCCTGTAAGATCAGAAGATCCTTTCCCCATTTCAAATTTGTGCTCCTTGTGTCAGATCAGTGACTCAGACAGTGTAAAGCATCATCAATACCTCTTTTAGGAGTTCATGACAACCTCCATGATCACTGTGCCTAAAAAACTTCAGAAGGCTGCTATTGCTGAGCTGAAAATGTATATTATATAGGGCGCGCTTGTTGGAGCCCAACCTCTGTAGCTGTAAGATAAAGGTGTCAGATGGATATCAGGCATGGATGGATGGATGGGAGCAGTAACACTGAGGCAGCTCTCCTTAGAGTGGAAGCAAGGCTCTAATGCAGTAACAGGAAAAAGTGAGGAAGGCACCTCTAAGTGCAGTTTTGACAATTTATTCAGTAAACAATGGAAAATTTGCACTTACAAGATAAACGGTTAAAAAGACTCATCGTGTGGTAATTAGATCCAGGTGGGACATTCAGCCGTCCAGCAGCAGACTATGTCTATAGGATCAGGAAGTAGAGTTCAGGATGTGCCTGTGCATCAAAAATGAAGCTTGGAGAGCAGAGTCAGATGTAGCAGGTGAAGGGGGCGGAAATGCATTTCAGAGCATGCTCAATAGACTCCTTCTTCAGAACTGAGCCCCAGTAGAACCCTGACATTTTTATAGTGTGAAGGGAATGGGAGGAAGGCAAGTAATTCCTGGGTCCTGGGTAAGATTTCTTCTTACAAACCGTTAGCCCAAAATCTGCAATCATTTATCAGAGATGGTATACACTTATTAGAACTACTGCATACCTATCGATGGGAACTTACATATCTTTGGCTGTCTCTTGATGTCTCCTCTCTTTATACATCTATACCCCATCATGTTGGCATATGGGCCATACAACATTTTTTTTATCAGAGGATGCTACCATTAACTCTAGACAGGCCACATTTGTTCTCAATGCTACACTATTTTGCCTTACTCATAATTATTTTCCATTTGACAGAGACTTCTACTTGCAGCTACAAGGCACGACGATGGGAGCTAATTTTGCCCCTTCATACGCCAATCTCACTATGGGCCACTGGGAACATCTTTATATCTGGCATAACAACCCATACCTATCCCACATTGTGTATTACGGTCGCTACATTGATGATATTATAATTATTTCGGATGGGAACATTACTGACTTCAGGATTTTGTATCCTACTGTAATATCAATGATATGGGCCTGGCATTTACCCATGTAGTCAACAAAGACCACCTAGCCTTTCTTGATCTAGTTTGCTGCTGGTCAGCTGGATGTCCCACCTGGATCTAATTACCACACGATGATTCTTTTTAACCGTTTATCTTGTAAGTGCAAATTTTCCATTGTTTACTGAATAAATTGTAATAACCGCACTTAGAGGCGCCTTCCTCTCTTTTTCTTGCTATTGCTGAGCTCTCTGAAGATGCTAGTTGCTTGGCTCCCATGCTAATCCAGAGGTTTCGGTATTTCCTGGGAACAGATATGCAGATGAGTCCTGACCTCACTTGTTGCATGCTTGTTCCAGATGTCTGTAATGCAAAGCCCTGTAGCCAGACCATTCGCATTTTCAAAAGTTGGCAGCGGAAGCTCCTCTCAATACATGTTTATTTTATTTTAAAAAAAAATCTGGCTTAAGCACACTTACAAGGCTGTGGGATACCAGAAATAGTTTTGGTGCAGTTTCCTGAAAACGCTCCTATGTGTGTCTACACATTTCAGACTCTGTGATCCAACCTCTGCAGTATCATGTCAATGGACAAGTTCTTGTCTAAGGCTTCAAGCACACAGGGTGTATTACAATACTCCTATCCACACTGGATCTTTCTGGCAGGAGCTTGCATAAAGTGCCGGCATGAAAAATAAAAAAAATGTTTTGGCTCATAATTCTGCACATTTATGCCCAATTATAGGTGTATGGCATTTAGAAGTATATGTACATAAACTCCATGTAATGGTGAGAATATTCATTCTACCTACTAGAATGAATATTTGCATGTATGCAGGCCTTTACACCTGTAGATGCGCAAATTACTATGCCAGTATGCTCCTTTCAAAATGCATTAAACCACAGGGGTCACCTCTGCCCTCATCCTTAATTTTTTATATACGAAACTGTGAGCATTGGCCCAACTGTATGGGACTTTACTGGCAGAAATACATCCATTGTACAAAGATATAACAATAATATTTATTTACTCCAAAATTCATGTTTCTTATTACATCAACAAAAAAGTACATATATACTATTTTGCCAAAAGTATTAGGATGCCTGCCTTTTATACACACATGAACTTTAAATGATATGTGTCAGCTTGGATTTGTGGTTCCATATATGCTCTTTTCTCTCTCTTTACCTTAGAAACTGGCAATTTGGAGTTTGGGTTTTTGTTACCTGAGGAGTAAACATCTATGCAGTGTAGAGGTAAGAGGCTCTTTGGGTGACTGTACATCATGGGCCTACTTTTTGAGTTGACCAGTGTGTGTGGGTGTATGTATGTATATACAGTGTGTGTGATATATATATATATATATATATATATATATATATACACAAACACACAGTATGTTACACTGAAATACTTAGCACAGTTAATTGCACACCAAAACCAACACGTTTTGGAATCAGCTCTCTTCTTCAGGAATGGCTCTGCAAGAAAGGTGCTGCAATCTACAAAAGTTAAAGTTAACTTTTGTTTAGAATATACATATTACAATCAAATACATTAACTTGTCCTATTTATGTGAGTGTATAATACTCACATTGATTGAATCGAACTAAAGGAAAAAATGTCAGCCTTATCATAACAACGCATTTTGCTACTATTCCTTTGCCCACACATACATGGAGATGGAAGTGGACTGCAGTCCACAAATGGTCACCGGAGATTTTTTGACACTGCCTTGCCACCCATAGTTAGTTTATTACTTCATTTTCACTACCAGGGCCTGAGATGCTCCAGAAAAACTCTTTTCATTATTCAAAATGACCACAGCTGATCACAGTTGAAGGTCAAATGGCTTTCTGTGTCATTGTGAAGGTGATTAGCTGCACCTGATTTGAGTCATTTTTAGTGGGTGAACCTTTTTCCAACTCAATGATTCTGCTTTTGCCTTTTTTTTTCTGACATGTTGGTGTTCTCTTTCATTTTGGATGTTATAAGTTGCACTCATAAGTTGAGTAGATACAGCTGGATAAAACAAAAACTGTCTGTCTTCATTTCAGGACACAAAGCAACGAAATGTGATTATATTAAAGGGGGGGGGGGGTCATTTTTAGGAGGGGATCGTCCTTTTTCCAACGCTGTGATTCTGCTTTTATTCTATTTTCTGCTGACGTGTAGGTGTTCTATCATCACCTGGATGTTATAAGTGCAGCTAGCTGAAATACAAACTTGTATCGGTCTTCGCTTCATGCTACAAAGCAAGGAAATGTGATTATTTTAAAGGAGGTGATTTTTTTTTTTTTTTTATTTCAACTCCCTGTAAATGCCACAATATGCATGGATACATTGGCTAACACAGAGCTGCATTCGGAGGCATGAAAAATGTAAAAATGCTTCTAAAGGCAGCATTTTTCTGTCCTTGTGCGCAAGGCCTAAATGTACTGGAAAATAGGCGGGAATGTTCCTATTGATAAGATCGCAGATTGCATATTTACTTTTTTTTGTGGCATTAAAGATTCAACATCTTTGGACTAGACACCTAAGGCAGGAGGACATGGCAGGTCCTGCGATGGGAGGATAGGGCTTTGCCTTGCCTCTTATGTTCTCCAATAATAAGTATACAAGTGAGTGATTTCCACAAGGTATGTTCACAAGAATACTGTCAGAGCAGGAAAGGTTAATTCTGTTTATGATTTTGTAACTGGGGGTAGCAAGGAGCCAAAGTCAACATTCTGGAGGATCATGGTGTGGGTGAGCAGATAGCAGGAAGGGGTGAGCAGATAGCAGGAAGGACTAAGCAGGTTAGCACGCATGCCAGAAAACTGCATGCACAACACTGCAAAACAGAAGGAGGCAGCACAGACCTAAAGTGGTTGTATAACCTTACATATACCCAATTAAGTGGCTGGCCTCAGGTGGTACACAAGATGAAACCAATCCTCCTACATAAGTTGTACCTGTCTATCTGCAGTCTTCTTTTCCTAACATCCATTCAAAGTGCTGAATTGATAAAGCTTGTATAAGCTGTCAGTATATATAGTGGCGGAGAGCTACACTTACTCGGCAGAGCTCAGTGAGGAGAGTGCTGAGCGC